AAATCGGTGAAACCGGTAGAAATAAACTTAAGAGTCGGCATAAGCTGAACTGTAGAATCAATGTTTTTTCGTTGTTGTTTATAAGAAGTAGACGTGTTTAATTCAATTTTATTTTGCGTGACTTACTTGGAAAGTATAGCCCATAACAGCACCGTAGGATTACTAATCATATCGTGCGCTTTAATAGATGCTCATTTAACGGAGCGATAAAAAAAATTAACGATGGAGTGTTAAGCGTGGTTCAAAATTAAATGAAAATAAAAAGCTGCAAACTTTTAGCGAAACGACGAAATGAGAGAATAACGTGTCATCACGTTTCAATCAACACTGGATAAATTTTTTTGTTAGATTGCAAAATAAAGTTGCCGGCTTGATTTTGCCTTTTATCAAACAGAAATTTCCATGGGCTTTTCCACTCTCTTGCTGGTAATGAAGACATGCTGTAGTACATGAAATCTAAAATTTTAACGCCTACACCTCTAAGACTTTGAAAAAGAAAGGTTTCTCTCTATTTTCATTCTCTTTGATCAGAAAAAGGAGGAACAAACTCGACCAATTTTTGAGCAATTATCGCTTCAACATAGTTTGGGTCCAGGCACTCACGGTCAGCGACTGCTCAACTCCACATTGATCAGAGGAAGAGCACTAAGTGATTTCCGGTTGCAGTCTTCAAAGGAAACACGACATTTTGTGGTGACTTCAATCCCCCATAGGCTCTCAGTTCACACTGGTAAGATTTTTATGGTGTTATTCATCCTAAGTTTACTCGGGCTGTGCTAATGTACAGATGCAGTTATGGCTGTAACATCATGGCTGTCACATCAGTTAACATCATGGCTGTATGTGTATTAACTGGTAAGAGAACGCGACCAGTCTCTTAGATTGCTGACATCAAACTTCACTATAATTGTATGCCACTGTAAGTTTGCTGAGGGGAAACTCAACTTTTAAGTATACGCTTTGCAGGGGCTTCGCTGATAAATTACTGTAGTTACTCGACACCTCCACGCAGTGAAAAAACACGGCTAAGTTTTACTTCATCCATCTTTAGGCAAAAAGATTGAAGGAGAAAGTCACTTTGGAATAATGGAGTTAACATGGCGGGCTGGAACGCCACTTCCAAAGGCAAATGATGAGACTCCGAACAACGCAGAAACGAACAATGTTCCTCAACTCTCGGGTAAACCAGTTGAACTCAAGGAACAGTACATATTAGACAAAGG